CCGCGACTGTTATGGGCACGGTCGTGTGCGCGCCTGTGTGTGCCAATTGAAGTCGGTCAAGTGGTCTTCAGGTCAGCCAGCTCGGAATAGCTGCCTGTGACGATGCATGACTTTGAGGCAGCGGGCCTTGGAGAACGAGGGGGGGAGGGGCAGCATTGCTGACCTTCCGCCTCAAGTTTACAACTCTACGAAAGCTAGCTCTTTAGGCTTCCAAGTAACTACCCGCGTTACCTGTTTTCCGTCTCAAGACCATGTAGATCGAGTTTCAAAAGTGGGAGCACTTTTAAGGGAATGGATAACCCGGCAATTGAAGCCCACGCTTTCTTCATCTGGTAGATTTATTGAACACATTTTATTTCGATTTGTACGTGTCAGTCCTCAGATAGTATACATATAATGGCACGGCTCTTAAAGCTGTTGCTTTGAGCGAACGCTGAATTCACAGGTGTTCACCAATTAGTATACGCCCTCTTGAACTCCTTACTTCCGCCCGGTTCTGCTTTCTTGGTGTATACTGTTGACTGGTAGCCAACACACATTGTTTATTTCGACTGCCATTCAGCTTTCTGTATAGAATGTAGCCTGGCATCTCCTATCTTTCAGTCCTCAGCTGAACTTTGTCTCACTATTTTTTTTGAGTTAGGGCACACCCATTATGTCAGCTGTTGCAAGTTTCAGACTGCAGTGTACTGCCGCCTGCCTCAGCAGGAATTTTTCACACTTGTATCCAGTCAAGTATAAACCACTGCTAGTGAGAAAAAAAATCTTACCAAGCTTACACATCTCATCAAACGCCTTTTATAGGTAGTCCAGTGCTTCTGAACTCATTTGCGAAGTAGAGCAAGCTGACCGGCCAAGTCGTCTTAATAGAATGCAAATATTTTTTTTCATATTTAAGGCCCAGGGCCTTTGTAATTTCCTGTCTAGTTTTATTTGTCGACTTCATTTTCATCTGCCATGCCACCGGTTGGCTCTCCAGACGTCTGCTTACTACTCCCAAATTTTTCATTATCATGTTCCCTCAATCTGTCCATGCTCGGTAGTTTTCGGTGGTCCTTTTAGGTCTGAAGACCAAATTGAACCAAATAGCATATGAAATTTATTATAGTTTAGATTATAGGCCTTTCCTGATTGTGATGCATATATTTCGTTTGCTTAACCATCATTCCACAGGCGCGATCTGCCTTCAAACCCACAGGACTACTATGCCTTTCTATGGAACCTGGATAAGGCAGCCGCCAGACGCCTTCATCCCAATGACACGAGGAAGCTACAACAGGCCATCCTGTCTAAACTGGCTAGCAGCAAAATACTGCAGACTAAAAACCAGTTAGAGCCGGTCAGCCCTGAACCGTCCTTATCACTACCGGTACCCAATGTATCAGTCAACCGAAGTTACTCACCTAAGTACACCGAGCCTCAAAGTCTAATCATCTGGCTTGACTGCAATCCAGACGTACTAAAACCAAGGCTTGATCAGCGGATCGGTCAGATGGTGGAGAGAGGTTTGATTGCAGAGTTGGATCGCTTTCTCTCGTCCGCAGCCGTCTCCCTATTACCCGCGGCCGTTGTCGCCGGCAAACAAGGTTGGTGTTTTTGGATCTTCGAATTTTGTTTAATGCGCTAAGATCACTTAATTAGGGGATGAACGTGTCTGTGTCTTGTGAAGTTTTGACCTCCAGATCAGACATCCCTGTTGCTATTGGAGAGTTGATCTATAGGCGGTATCTGCGAGCTGTACGCAACATGGGCTGGTGTGTTTCCAGCCTTCCTTTTTCTGGCCTCATCGCCGCAACTAAGAGTAATTTATCATAGGCCGGTCTCTTAGGCGGATTGAATTTATCCTAAGGGAAAACCTTTTTAAAGAGATTCTCAAAACTGTATTTACTAGTTATAAGATTTTTCAAGTCTACGCAAGCTATCGAAGGTGCCCCAAATTATTTACAGACGTTCT